CGACAAGGGAAACATACTCGCAGTTATGCTGTGATGTACGATGAATTTCGGCCATTTGAGTTCGTTTAGGACTCGAAAGCTAATTTTTAAAGTTTTGGCACTATTTTTGTCAATTCGTTTACTTTGGGTTTTTTTACAATTCTAGTTTGTTTAAACTTTGTTTTCATTAATTTTAGTTGTTTTAAATTATGTTTCCACGTAAATCTTTATAAATAAGGGGTTAGTTCATTTTTTATTATTTTTCATTAATAAAACTCGTGAAGTTTATTTTCTCCTTAATTTGACGGATTCCAAATTTCGTGATCTCAAGATTTTCACATAATTCATTTCTTTCGCTGCGTCAATCACAAAAGAGTATATCACAATCAATCAATTATAGGTCATAGTCATCAGATATTCACAATCACATGTCTAACATTTTATTTTATACAAGATTGAAAATATTTGATCAAGGAACATTGTTGATTTCTTCGGGAGATTTCCACATAGTCCATGACAAATGTGATCACAAACTTTGTCAAGAAATTCAACAATGAGCAGTAAGAGAGACAAACCGACACTTGTTTATGTTACGTGAATTGCAATGAGATTATTGTCCAACTACAATTGATACATTATGTATTATTGCGGTCAAACAACCTAACTCAGACGAGATTATTGTCCAATCATGATTGATACATTATGTAGATAAATATTGGTAGCCACATACATGTAGATGAACATTTTCAAATTATTCAAGTTTGCATCAATTGCATTTAAGTTATTTTTACGTATAGGAGAAAATGTTGATAATATGTTTGTGATAACAAGTCACAATCATAAAACAACAGGTTACATACAATGCATTATATGTCACAGACAATCACAGTTAACACATGCTTGGCACCAACAGTTACACTTAACATAGTTTTGATCACAGACAATCACGGATAACGTAGACTTGGTCACAAACTATAACAAATAATACAGATCGATCATATATAATCACCGTTAACACAGATTTGATCACAAATAGTGCAAAAAACACATCTAGTAGGTCGCGTCACATCATGCGGATATTTTATGAAATACAGGCACCCATTAGATTAAGGGTTGCTTCCGCCATTTTATTATTATTATTTTTTTCTTCTCCAAATTTGCAAATAATCTAATCATAGCTAAAGGTTTGTATATTTCTAACTTTTGATTCATTTAGTTGATGTTATCTTTGATTTTGATGTTGAGACTTTTATGTTCTATTACATATAAAATTTCGTCTTTAGATTAATAATTTTGAGTTAGTATATACTAAAAATTAAATTAGTATGAATTAGGTTTAGTATTTATGAAAGTCTACTTTGGATCAATTGAAAAATGCATGCAAGGTGGTTGTGAAAATGATGAGAAGAGTGAAATTCTCTATCCTTTTTTTTTTTCTTTTAAAAAAGGTCGTAGTCTATTTCATTTGATTTTTTTTTTTGGGATTAATTAAATAGATGTATACGTGTATCTGTAAAAATTTAAATTTAAATAAGAATATGAATTTAAACCTTACTTTACATTAAAAAGTTCCATGGTATAACATTTTATTTATACTTTTGCATATGATTTAAGAGGCTAAAATTTGAAAGCGACTTTACTGTCACCTTTTTTTTTTTTTTTTTAAATGTCGCAACCTATCTCATTTGAATCCTTTAGTATCAATTAAAGATATGGGTACACGTGTGCTTATGAAAATTTGAATATGAATATGAATTCAAATTTTACTTTAAATATTAAAAATTGACAGAAGTATTTTATTATTATTATTATTTTTTTTTTGTATTTTTACATATGAATTAATGTGGTTGAATTTAAAAGTAACATACTTTGTCACTTTTTTTCTTTAAAAAAAAAAAAGTTTCATAAGATTTCATATGTATTCTTTTTGCTCATATGGACAAAATTAACGTCTTTATATAGTATAAAGGCAAATGGAGAACAAGATAATAAATATAAAAGTGAAAAATAATTAAAATTGTTGTCCCTACATAATGTTTATACAACAATCTTTATTAAAACTTAAATGTCATTTTTTTAAAAAAATGACCTGTCATTTAAGAAACTTAAGTTTTCACTATGTTAAAAGAGATTAAGTTGTCATTGATATGCAATTTTATCAAATAAACAATTGATGTATCCTTATATTTTTCACATAAGCTAAATTTGACAACAATTTTATGAAGTTCAAAATTTATGTAACTTTTTTTTAAGTAGTTAAGTTATATATTACTGCTAAAAAGTATTATATCCCTTTAAACCAATATTTATGTGGTATGACTAACTTTCAATGTTGTCAATTAAAAAAAAAAAAAAAAGATAATAGAAAGAAAGAAAAACTATTAAATGAAAAGTGACGGAACTTTAAAAAAGTGAGAAACATTAAAAAAGGGAAAAATTCATTTCTAAGAGTTTATCTTTAGCCTATTTCAAAACTAAGAAAACAAGTTTACAATTTCAAATTTCAGATATTATTAAAATTTATTTATCAAATAATTGATTAAAAAATATTTTATTAATTAAACATATTAAAGTCACAAATATATATAATTTGGTCACTAATCAAATTAATTAGTTACAATTTATTTTTTTAAATCACAAATCAAAAATTTTATAGGTCACAAATTATTTGTCGATAACAAATCAAAAATTTCATGGGCCACAATTCATTGATCGGTCACAAAATCAAAATTTTTATTGGACAACTCATTTATCGGTTACAAATCAAAAATTTCGTAGGTCATAATTCATTGATCGATCACAAATCAAAATTTTTATTAATCACAACTCATTTGTCGATCACAAATAAAAAATTTCATAGATCACAATTCATTGATTGGTCACAAAATCAAAATTCTTATTGGGCACAACTTATTTGTCGGTTACAAATTATCAAAATAATTGGTCACAATTAATTATACAGTCACAACTTAATAAATTATGAGTCATAATTACATTTTTTTAGGTCACATACTATTTATTAGACACAAATTAAGCAATTTATTGGTCAAAAACAACCCCAATCCCATCCCATCCACCTCGACCACCACTAGCCACAACCACCATTGTCTCACCAGATTGTGCAAAACCACCTCAACAGTGACTACCACATCAACGCAAAATCACCACCACCGATCCACACCACCCCTGTAATCACCACCGCCGATCCACCACACACCAAACTCAAAACCATCAATCGCAGCATCACCACAAAACCACCACAAAACACGACAAACTCATCAGAAAAAGAAATGACACAAACCACACTATCAATCTCCGCCGCTGCACACAATGGCGCTCTGAGCTACAAGCATCGATGAGGCCGCCACACAAAGCGGTGCTCTGAGCTACAAATTGATGAGGTACGTCGTGCGCCTTGAACTACGGCAACGCCGCCTCTTGCGAACAGAGGCGATGTACGAACAGCCACAATCCTTCTTCTCATTCGGTGACTGCAGAACGACTATGTTCACTAGCCAGAGGCATCGAGAGCCAAGCATCGGCGGTGCTCCGACGACGACACAGTAGAAAGAAGATGGAGTGGTGAGAGAATGAGGAGACTTAGAGAGAGAGTGAGAAGTAAATTTTAGGGTTTGAAAAAATTGGTATAGAGTAATTTCAATTTTATATTATTATTATTATTATTATTATTATTATTATTATGAAATTAAAATATAGAATTATCATCTGATTATTGTAAAAACAAAGTTTAAATCTGGTTTTTGAAATTGAAACTTAAAAATTCTGGTTTTGTGTAATTTCCTCATTAAAAAATGGAAAACCTTTAAAAATTCAAAAATCTAAAAAAAAGTGACAACATCACAAAAACTTTTTTGGGCTTTTTACGAGAATTTGCAATTCTTATAATTTAAAGATATTAATATAATATTTTTTATTTTTTGAGGATAGTGGGTCTAATTTTCCCTAATAAGCAAAAGAACCGAAATACAAAACAAAACTAAATTTGGTTGGCTTGGTTCTTCTTAAATTTTAAGAGTTACTGTAGACGAACAGGGCCATGATTATTCAAATTTTAAATGGTTTTGATTCCAAGAATCAAGAATCGAGAATCAATTCTAACTTAATTACTTCAAAAAAACTAGATGAAGTTTTCCAGAATACACACGTGTGTGGGCCCCATGATGTATAAAAAATGCTAAAAATGTGTGTGGATCTCAGAACTGTGACTTTTTTGTATCCTTTCTGTGAAAACTTTGTCTGTACGTGTAGAAGAGTTCTAATTACTTTTTAATTAATTATGTTTATTTGTTGATTTGATAAATGATTTTAGCGATATTTTCGCACTTCAAAGCTTCCTGTTTTTATTTTGAATACGAGGATTAACTTTTGGTAATTGACTTTTCTATCATGTTTGCATTAATAATTTAGAAATTTCACTATTATGGAAAATTATTAGAACTCCATTCGGTTTTGATTCTCTTCGAAATCGAACAATCTAGAAGCACACCACCCCTACCTCTCTCTCTCCTTTTTTTTTTCAGATGATATTCTATTAACTATGTTTTATTCACCTCTTTGAACTTCTACTGAATCGAGAAATAAGTTTGATTGGCCATCTAACCTGCCCAACCCAACTAAGGATAACCGAACCTGACACACATCTTTTCCCTTTCATTCTGCTTTTTATCAAAATATTTTAAAGAATTAAAAAAGTACTGCTCACTCAATTAAACCGCAATTCCACGTATTTATAATTTTAATCATTTATACTCACTTCGCTTTATAATAATATCTCAAGCCATACCTAGCTTGATCTAGAACCAAATAAATAAGTAAATAATAAATAATAATAATAATAATAATATATTGATTATTTAAATATTAAAAAACTTCTATGTTATATCACTTGCCAAATCTAAACTTGTTTATTGTGTTTGGAGCTTGAAAACAGGTACAGTTTAAAAATATGTACAGCACAAACTCTACAGACAGATATCGTTATAATAAAATATGCCATCTAATAAAATCATTATTTTTCTACATACAATTGCAAATGCGCAGTAGAGTTACAAAGTTTTTTAAATACAAGACAGAGTTAATGTAATCTACACAAAGGAAATGAAAATTGCAATTAGACCATGAACGAAGCAGAATCATCATGTCTGTAAAGGGACAAACTGCAGTTAAAACTTAAAATAGTGAGGGCTTATTTGAAAAGACAATTGTAAAAAACTGAAGTTATTTAAAAAGAAAAACTCGTTACACACTTGACGAAGTTAAGTTTTCTATCCAGCTCTTTGCATAGAAAGAAAGAGCAGCAATACAGGCAGCCGAAGATACATCAAAAGCAGCATAGACGCTGGTACACCAAGGCAGCTCACAGACAAATGCCCTTTTCCTCTTGCTGGGTGGAAGGGCTTCATTTCTTCCAATTCAGTTCCAACAAAGAAAATAAACACTGAACCAACATCTGGTTACACCACCTACTTTCGATTTCTAGGGAAATATTCTGTCTCTAAGTCCGGATGTGGAACTTCTAGCATACCTGCAGTAGTTTCCATGCGAACAAGCTAATGTCTAATAGAAGTGAGGTTTGCATAATCTGCTAAAGTCACCGGAATTTACTCAAGCAAACACTGCCTGTATTCTACGGAGCATAAATGATTACCATATTTACAGCAATAGATCGTCTTTTATGATTAATTCAATGAGTTCAAATCATACAGAAGCTGTAAGTGACTTATTATAGATGTCGTCCCCAACTCCATCACGCATGAATCATTTGCATATTCTGTAGAGACAAAATCATTTGATTCAGGAAGTGAGGAGCATTGCAAACAACATGAACGCAAATCTTTCATACAAGTGTGAAATAAAATGGTGGAAAATCAATTATAAATCCAACATTTTCAAAAGGAAAGGAAAAGAAATAATAATGACGCAAACATATTTTCATTAGTAGAGATGTCCTCTTAATATTGAATATATGGGGCAAAGTTGCAGATTAGAATTTTCTTGTCATGGTGGACAAGAGCAGCGTGGGCAACTGCATGAAGTAGCGGAGAGTAGCATTAAACAAGCACCAGCACACTGATAATTACAGCCTTTTGGTCTAGGTTGATTTGGTTGAATAGGCTCAGCATTATGATATAGATAAACTGTTCCATTGCAGCTTCATTCTCAATTTACATGAGAAAATAAAACAGAAATACGACATCTGTTAAACATAGTTTTTACTTTTCAGCACTCCAACAAGGGTAAAAATGTTACTAGGAAACGTAATCACATGAAACTCTTGGAAAGCCAGATTAGCATATCATCATCATATATTTATAAAAAGGCACTAGGGGACTACAACTGCAGAGGAGAAAACTCAAGTTTCAGAATTTATCTTCAGGAGAAACTCGCTCCGTAAAAATTTAGCAGATATTCTTATTAAGATAAATAGACTCTCGTAATGAACTTACCAAACTTGGAGTGCTTCTCCCTTTTAGTGTCTTGGATGCCGCATCTGCAAAAGCCTGTGCTGCTTCAGCATCTGCCTCTGCTGCCTCTGCCTCTTGTGCTGCCTCTTCAGCTTCGGCCATTGCAGCTTCTGCTTCAGCAACTGCTTGAGCAGCAGCAGCAGCAGCTTCTTCTGGAGTCATGCTCCTCATCTTGGCTAACTCTAAATCAATCTGAGATTTTGAAAGTTCACTGACATCATCACAGTCAGTCCTCGGAGAAATACCCTGCCTTCTGCTAGCTATAGAAATAGAAGGGTTCCTCCTCCTCTCAGATAATGAAGCAGTTGGAGCCATTCTATATTTCCGTTTCATCTGCAGGAGACGAAAAGACTCAGACTCAAAGAAGTACTTGAAATTCTCACAGATATTAATTAAAATAAAGAATTCAGAAAAAATAATTTTCAATCCTATGCAACTTTAAAACAGGGAAAAAGTACCCACAATAATCACTCAGTTAGGGAATTAGTGAGGCAAAAACCACCTTGATAAGTTTCCCGTTTGCAACAAAATGCTTCAATTTACCAGATAACATCCTTTTAAAGTTCGGCGGTGCCCAGTACTGGTCCTACAAAACAAAAAGCTGTAAGATTGGGAGATAGCCAATGAAGAGCTTAATTTATTAATTACGAACAACGTCAAGTCTTCAGAAAACACGGTATGATTAGAAGATAGCCAAAGAAGAGCTTGAGTTATTAGGTACGAACGTCAAGTTTTCAGATTGGTGATATTCTACGCCATATAATATTTAATGAAAGGACCTTTGCAAGTCTTTGGTGTTCAATACTCTCAACGGACAGCATATATTATGATTTTTAGAAATCCTTTAATCAACTTAACGAACCAAGATTAGCTAACCAAGCATAACATTCTTTTGAAAAGATTCATCTACTAGACTAAATTATTCACTACATATTATTATTCTTAGTAAAAAGTACAGTCAAAAGTTGACAAAAGTTCAGCAATTGTATTCCCTTCTCCAAACTGGGGCTACAACACAAAGTAGCTTAGAGTAATAGTCTGAGATTGTTATGGGAGTACCTTAACAATGAAGTGATAAAAATGGACAAAAGGTGCAACCCAAAATGTTGAAGGCATCAAAACAAGTTGTGAAGCCTTTCTCGACCAACACCACCATCTAATACAATAAACCTCATTAACTCGTTATCACCTAATTTTTGCAAAGATGCAAGTTTTTTGAGCAAGAAACTTTGATATTGGTATTACAAATTCAAAAATATAAGTACTTGAACTTTCGGGACAAATTTAGTGCAACAGGAAAACAATAGATCATGTTTAGATCATGTTTTGACTCATACATGAAAATTTTACTCACCTGAAACATATTGTGTTTCAACAGCAAAATGCAGTTCATAATAGCTTTTTTGTGATCTATGGGCCGTTACCAACTAGGATGCACCGACACCCTCCTAAGTCCAGCGACTGTTGGACATTCACACATTGCCGACAACTATCAAATTCGTCAAGTTCCGTGTCCAAACTATTTTATTCAGAATAGTTCGATACATCGCCGACACATTTCCGTCGGACATCCACAACTCAAAAAGGCAAGGCAAAAATGTGACATGACATGACCGAATTATTTTTTGGTTAGTTGAATAATTGCCGATATGTTTTCCAGATGCTAAGAGATACACCAACACATCATCTACACGTGTTGGAAACCCCGGGCAGCGTGTCCATTTTTTTAAGTTTATATTGTTGGACATGTCGCTAATACACTGAAAGATGCACTACTTACATGCTGTGAGATACATTTTTGACACATTAAAATTAAAAGAAATCAAAATTAATTTATAATATAGGAAAAAATAAAAATAATTAATATTATTAAAATCAACACGCTGAGGACGTTTGCCACTTTCTAAAAAATTGTGTCGACATGTCCATGTGTGTGTCTATGTCCAAAACTTGTGTTCATATCGATTATTCCTCGTTTACTATGATGCATGATAGTCCTATTTGTGCAGCATGCTCGTACCCGACAAGTGTCGTGTCCGTCATCGACATTCCTTGAACAGTTCATGTCATATATTATATGAATTATTCCTTCCCCAACAGTTGAATATCTAACTTGATAATTATTTTAATTTAGCAAATAGATACTCAACTAACTTAAAAGATTTCAAGGGAAAAAAAAGTCAAAACTAAGAGAAAAATTAGACTTTATTAAAAGATAAAAAGTATAAACAATATGATAGAATATATAATCTACAAGTTTTTAACGAATTTAATGTGTGCTCAACGTGTTCATGTCCTACATTTCTAAAAAATCACGTGTTGACATGTCTGTGACTTTGCATTATGTCTAGCTTACCAATGGACAATACCAGCTTTCTCATAATGATCCAATACGTCGCCAATGCACTATGGGTGAGTGAATATAATGGCATTCATGGTGCAAAGTTACACATGAAAGATTATTTTCACACCATATTGTTGGGAGACACTGCATCACACCGAAAATACTTAAGAAAATGCGAAGCTAATAGACAAGCTTTTAACACTTCATAAACTCTTGATATTCAATTCCCTTAGAGAAAAGCAGAAATAGAGAATCACTACCTCTATGTAGGTAGCTATAGTGGTCTTGTTAGAACCACCAGGTTCCCTCAGGTTATTTATAGCTTCTATAATAAGATTGTCCAACCTATAACAGAAGCAAAAAAGATAAATATCGATCATGCGCAATTCAAACAGAATGAACATGAGATACCATCCAGGTACTAATCACTGCCATCTATTCAGGTTTAGGAATATTACTGCAAATTATAATACTGTGGAGTATTAAAAACAATCTGATCTTGACTATTGGAGAGCAGTGACAAAAAGCATGTAAACTTTAAAAAGTTTCAGATAGGTTATATGATTTCCATTTTCAAAAAATGCTAGTACCACCTCTGCACATGCCTAGAAATAATGTACCGACATTGATGCTAGAGATGTTTGTATGTGTAGAATAAATGCATCGTGTACACGTCTTATCTTTCTAACTGTTGAATTGAAGGGCTGGCTACTTAGCATGAAAAATATTTTTAAAAAAAAGTGTCAAACTTGCGCATTGCATGTCTAACCTCATAATAGATCTTTTTGGGCCACTGACTGGTGATGTAGAATCATCAATTTCCTCGTCGCTTTGTGAAACACTCTCGCCGTGTTTTGCTGCCTGATGCATCCTCTTGAGTGCTAATTTAGCCCTATCCCGAGATCCCCATCCGTTCGCCATCACACTCATGTTTCTCCACTTATCCTGCCAAATCATTATGACGGCTTGAACCTATAATCCAACAGCTATTAACATCTTCAAAGTAACAATATAATTGAGATTCGATCTATACCTTGAGATCAACATTGGATCTCAAACATAAAACTCCACTGAATTCGGGATCTTTAAGAATTGTACGCCACTTTCCAGGGCCATGCTTAAGGACTCCAGCTTTAAGAGCTGCTTCTTCCTCTGCAGTCCACTTTTGCTTAGGTGCACCCATTAATCAACAGCGCACAGATAAATTCTACCTCCTAAGCAGTAATCACCTGCACCAGAAACTCGCCCTAGCATAAGAAAATTTTCAGATTCAGACGCATTAAATTTTAAATAGGAAACGGAACTACACTTGTCTAGAATTCACTAATCGGACTCAATCCACCAAAAGAAATTGATCAAAATAAATATAGATCCATTCAAACCTAGCAACAAAAATAAAAATTTTAAATTTCATTTCGCTTATCTAAATTATCAAATCTGAAATTCCAGTCAAGTTCTCTTGCTTTAATTTAAATTATCAAGAATTCAAATTGATTTCATGAGGTATACCATTTACGAAGGGGGTGTAATTTATGCCGCAGAAAATTGAAACCCTAACCTTATCCCATCATAGCAGAAAGAAAATTCTTATAATTCACGTCAGCAATCAATTGGAAACAGAGATTGAATGAACAGATAGATGTAGAATTACCAGATACGGGGAGATTGACAATTAGACCTTCGATTTCAGAATTGAAAAGCCCCTTCCTTTCAAAGCCCTAATTTCTAATGAGCAAGCCGAGGATATGAATAACGGTTTCACGTGGATTGAAGGGAAAGGGCAAAAAAAATAGTTTTTACCTATGCTAAACACACTCCCTTTGAAACAAAATTATTAATTCCCGTTCGACAATTTGATGAAGAATGAGTTCTTCAATAATAAATTTTTAAAAAATGCATAATTAAAAGGTAGCAAAAAGTTTTAAATTTACATAATATTTTATTGTGAAATATGTTATTAATAATGAGTATGAAATTTTTTTTTTTAAATAATGATTATGAATTATGGATTAATTTCTCATATTCATTTTTAATCACATATTCATAAAATAAAATATTTTAAATGTAAACTCAAATTTTTTTTTTTCACTTTTTAACAAAACATTCTTCAAAAAATTATTATTTAAAACATTATTTTTACACAATAATGACAGTCAAACGCAGAATAAATAGCATTACTATATTTTATTTTTGGTTTCTCTGTTTGGGGTTTGTATTGTGTGGAGGAAAAATAACAGTATGGCCGTTTTGGTATAGTTAAAAATATTTTAAGTACATTTGATAATTTGATGAAATATGTGGTTAAAAATTTTTTTTAAATAAATCTTATCCATGGACTTAGTTTTACATTTGGTAACTAAAATTTGAGAAAAAATTTACATTGGTACTAAAAACCCATTTTTTTTTTTTTAACTTATTTAGTCCCTATAGTATTTTTTGTCACACTTGACTTATGTGTAGCACGATGCAGCAGGTCAAAATAAGAAAAGTTGCTGCACTTTTAAAGGAAAAAGCGGTCTGAACAGGATCAACGTAACCCTGATCATCTAGCAAAACCCCTTTTAAATCACCCATCCTACTTCAAAATGCAAAGTTTAACATATACCAATTTAAGTTTTACTCCGTACAATTATACAGATTTTATGTGAACTATAAGTAAAATCTTATTTCCAAAATACTCAATGTAGATTTTTCTCAAAACAATGATACAATGTTTAGTGAATTTGAAAATCACTAACGTTTACTATAATTTCTTAACTTTTCCTTAATGTATAGTTTTTATTTGGGATATAGCACATATTTCCTTTAATAGTCAGCGCCTTAGATGTTTGTGCACATCAACCTTTAACTATTATCAAGGTTTTCGAACTTTATTTTTTGACAGAGAATTAATAGTATAATGTTAATAAACGTAGTATTCTAAAAGGCATGAAATGATGTCATCTAAGTGCGCTTTGTTATGAGACGTGTTCAAAACACTCTATATATGTGCAAGACGTGAAAAATGACAGCAAAATCTTCTTTTGAACAAATAAAGCGAACATAAGTGCATGCCTTTTTTATTTTTAAAATTTTTTTTTGGACATAATGATTGAGGGAACTTAGGCACTAAATTAGTGAGGACAATTTATTGGGCTTATTTACCTTTAAAAGGATCATGTGCTTTCAATTTTCACTTGTCTAGGTTTAGGAGACTTGAAAATTTTCTAATTGTAGGAATTTTTAAGTAATAACAGTCTTTTTTATTTTAATTAGTTTGTATGCATTATTCTGTCTATTATTTAATGGTCTAGAATAATCAAAATAAGAAAACGTCTTTTACGCAAGCTTGACATTGTTCTCCTATTACATCTTTTTTTTATTTTAGAACAATGAACTAACCCTAGTGATTGTACGAGTCTAAAAATACTTTGAGGACCAATGATATAATGCTAATTAACTTCATTGACGAAATGAGTTAGAAAATACTTAAGGATCAACTTGAAAGTTTGTACAAACTTCATTTACCATTTATGAAATTAACTTCTTGATCATGTATACAACATGACATCTATTGATAAGTAACTGTAAATCTAAACTTAACAAGTATATAGAATTCAAAGAATGCAAGAACAAACAAATCCTATAATAGTAGTAGACCACAATTTGTCGAGCTCTCATCAACTTGTATACTATTATTGATCAAACTTAACTTGGACAGTCAAACACAACTCTAAGTAGCTAGTCAATAACAAATCTTCTTTTTAAACCCTAACTCACCCACCCTACAAAAATCATATAAATATTTTCTATCTACTGTTATTAAACAATGTGGCTTCTTTACCTGAAATAGGACGAACTTTATGAAAGTGCTTCAAGTAGGCCCTCACATTCCCTTTGTACCTTTAATTTGCAAGAGATCAAATCCAGGTTGCTCTTCAAGTTAGTGAAGTTATTTCATTGTAATTAGACCTCGAGCCCTTCACTTTCATTATTTTGATGTGGATTGTCGAGCAAAAATAGTAATAGAGCCTTTTCAGATATTTGTAATTCGTGGTCTAATTAGATAACGTTTTACTTTGATCATAGAAGTTCCTTAGAGTACATTCGAGAAAAAAAATCGATTGTATTTTTTCCATACTTCAAGAATTAAAATTTGGGACATTCTGTATTGCTAAATAGAGCTTCCGCTCTGCATAAATTAGACATACATGCACTCCAACTCATTTTAGTGGAGGGGCGTGCACAAAATTCATTCCATAGTCCATACCCATATTATCAATACTCATTCTCAATCCAACGCTAGCTTTCTTCTCTTCAAACAAAAACTGAAGAAAACCTTTTACAACATCCTTAACATCATCCAATACGAAAAATTCTATACCACAAAAATTGAATAATACTTGTGGTTCCAACGAAATGTGTTATATGAAAAATAGGTTTGACAGATTAGGTTTATAAATTAAATAGGTACCAAAGAAGGCTAAGAAAGATGAGGTCAACGACTCAACAAAGTACCAAGCCAAGGTTCTCAATTCATAAAAGACTATTCGAACCTATTGAGAAGGTGCTAAACTATGTTGTGGATGTCACTTATATAAAACAATCTTGAACTGCAGATAGAAATATGCCAAATGCAAAAGAGAATGTGATGATAACTTGAAGTTTTAGAATATACAACAATATGCGATCTCTTCGGCACAATATGTAAATGCAATTTTCAATTTATTAAAATTTTATTCTAGGGATGATAACGAAGTAGGATGGTGCTGAGGCAATCCTCATTGTCCTGACCCCGTGTAGGATTTTCAAGAGTCAAGGTGAGATTAAAAAAAATCATGATTATATATTTATTTAATTATTTAATATAATTTAATTTTTAAATTGTATTCATTTTATGAAATATAAAATAAAATATAATGATCGAAAGGGTTAGGACAGGACAAAGTTCATTAGTTTTTCCATTCCTTTGCCAAAATTTTTAACATTGTTACAGCTCGACACACGTGGCACCACATGGCCGACCCACTATAGCCCTTCGCCCACTTAAGCCAAAACACGTGGCATGGTGGCTAAGGCCCTGAAGCCTTGAATGCAACCAGAATTAATATTTCAACCGAAGGTTAGCATTGTGAGTCCGAAGAGCATTGGTTGAGGTGGTTTACTCCAAGGCTCGTGCGCTGAAGCTAAGACTTTCGAAGCGCCTTCACTACCACTTCTTCCAAGAGATTTGTTTCTACATAAATATCTTCTTCGAATTATTAATGAGACGTCTATCATAGAGTTTAAGTGTTAAGTCTTGTCATATAAAGTGACGGCTCTGCCAATTAATAAATGTAAAGTTGGCCAGCAAGTCATAAGTGATACTTAGGATTATATGTATGGATCTAGGAGATGAGACCACTTGTACTTCCATCCAAGGGCCACAATTTACTTTGTATTACTATAAATATTCCCCTATGCTACCATTGTAAGACGAATGTAACTTTGAATACAAGATTGAACAAACGAACAAATACCAAAGAACTTACTCCATTTTATCTCTTGCTACTCAATTGAGTCTACACACATTCATCAATCACGATTGGTAATTATTATATAATCGTTCTACAAAGGTCTTGTCGGATTGTGAACGTTGTCGTCCTCGCGCCTTTGAGCCGCTCTCACGCCCTTCCTTGGATTGTACCAAATCGCTTGCATATTTTAGAGTGTTGGACCAAACTTACGTGTGTGTTGGTGGATCATGTATCTGTTGCCCGTGTGGCCCCCAACCGAAAACAAGATCAAAAAACATATTGACTTGACCGTTGAGGTAAAATTTAGTGTTTTTTAATGTACTTTAGAAAACTGCTTAAAATTAAGATCAAAATCAATAATTAATTTTCATACATTTTATAAGATTCACAATTTTTTTATTAATTTTTCAATTATACATTTTATTAAAGAATAAACTTCTTGTACAGACCCATTTGCACGGGGTCTGTACAGGGCCTCTCACATTGGGTGGACCCCACGTGTGGATCCCATGTGTTGGGTCCATTTTCATGTGAGAACATCTGTATAGACTGTGTGCAAATGATTCTCTATACTAATAGCACAATTCTTTTATTAACTTATAAAAGTTTTTATCAAACGGATCTTTAGTGTGCCCAAAATTATTCATGTGTCAGTGAATCTTGGATCAAATTTGAGGTTTTTACTGCGGTTGGTCCGAGCTACATGAAAATTAAAAGCCTGAGCAAAAAAATAAAGTCTAGAACATGGTACTGTCCCTGCCTATACCATCCGTACGGGGCACCTCACAAAACGACAAGTTTGAATCAATTTAATATTGCTCACTACACGACAAATATAAGAACATTGTGATGAATTATAATAGAAACTCTACTTCAACTTTAATATAATTGATAAAAATTATTTATTTATGAATTTTCAAAATGTCTTTATAAGAAAATAAGTTCAATTTACATGTGACATGGCTTGTAATTTTAATAATTTAAACTTTAATATACAATAATACAGCAAATACTTCATGTTCAATTGAAAACTATAGCACTACTTTCATTTGCGAAGTTATGCTACTAGTTGTCATGTTTGTTTGGTGTTTAAATTATAAATTAAGTGATTATAAGTTGTGTGTTCTACAAAATGAGTAAATAATAATTATGGATATAAAATATATTTGACAAGAAGAGATTCTAGAAAATCCCAAACCAAATATGCACATTAAAAAAATATTTTTTAGAGTTAAGATTGAAGAATTATTACACTTTTGGAAATATCTTGGAAAATATACTGTGGCGATATATGTACCGAGGC